GGGGAGTTGAGGGTGCCCGGGGCACCCCAGGGAGTGCAGCAGGCAGGAGGGGAGCCGAGGGTGCCCGGGGCACCCCAGGGAGTGCAGCAGGCAGGAGGGGAGCCGAGGGTGCCCGGGGCACCCCAGGGAGTGCAGCAGGCAGGAGGGGAGCCGAGGGTGCCCGGGGCACCCCAGGGAGTGCAGCAGGCAGGAGGGGAGCCGAGGGTGCCCGGGGCACCCCAGGGAGTGCAGCAGGCAGGAGGGGAGCCGAGGGTGCCCGGGGCACCCCAGGGAGTGCAGCAGGCAGGAGGGGAGCCGAGGGTGCCCGGGGCACCCCAGGGAGTGCAGCAGGCAGGAGGGGAGCCGAGGGCGCCCGGGGCACCCCAGGGAGTGCAGCAGGCAGGGGGGCAGCCGGGGGTGCCCGGGGCACCCCAGGGAGTGCAGCAGGCAGGAGGGCAGCCGGGGGTGCCCGGGGCACCCCAGGGAGTGCAGCAGGCAGGAGGGGAGCCGAGGGTGCCCGGGGCACCCCAGGGAGTGCAGCAGGCAGGAGGGGAGCCGAGGGTGCCCGGGGCACCCCAGGGAGTGCAGCAGGCAGGAGGGGAGCCGAGGGTGCCCGGGGCACCCCAGGGAGTGCAGCAGGCAGGAGGGGAGCCGAGGGTGCCCGGGGCACCCCAGGGAGTGCAGCAGGCAGGAGGGGAGCCGAGGGTGCCCGGGGCACCCCAGGGAGTGCAGCAGGCAGGAGGGGAGCCGAGGGTGCCCGGGGCACCCCAGGGAGTGCAGCAGGCAGGAGGGGAGCCGAGGGTGCCCGGGGCACCCCAGGGAGTGCAGCAGGCAGGAGGGGAGCCGAGGGTGCCCGGGGCACCCCAGGGAGTGCAGCAGGCAGGAGGGGAGCCGAGGGCGCCCGGGGCACCCCAGGGAGTGCAGCAGGCAGGAGGGCAGCCGGGGGTGCCCGGGGCACCCCAGGGTACGCAGCAGGCAGGGGGGGGATCGATGGACGACCGGGAACAGCAGTTGGAGGAGTGGTGCCGACTTTTGGAGTTTGATACCCCCATGGCGACTGCGGAGGAGTCAGAGGCGGACGGAGAACCACCCAGTCCGCCTTCCCCATGCCCCCGTTTCCCGTGTGACACGTGTTTCCACACGTTCGCCACGAGAGGGGCCGCTGCGAACCACATGAGGGTATGCCGGGCGGCTGAGGCGGAGAGACGCGCGCAGGCACTTGGCTCGATCCCGTCTCTGGTGGAGACCGACACACAGGAGCGACCGACGCCGCGGGAATTTGGGGACGAGGCGTGGGCAGGGGTTAAGTCATGGGAGTGGGAGGCATTTTTCTGTGTGGAGGCGGTTGGAGGGAGGACAGTGCGCCGAATCCCGCAGCGGGCCCGGTCCGGGGTCTTAGACGCACTCTGTTGCATCTTGAAGCGGCTGAAGAGCCGACCGGGAGATGAAGCTGCTACCCTCCTACTCCTGGCGTTTCCGCGCCTCATCCTAGCCGTGCCTCCCAAGCCAGGCATAGGTCAGAAGGCGCTGATCATAGAGCGGCTGGGGGCCTTCTGGGAGGGGAGGTGGCGGGAGTTGTTCGACGCTGCCATGGCGGCGGCACGGCCAGCAGTTCGCCCACTTGCCTACACGTGCTCTGACCAGGACCCGGAGGCCATCCGCCTGTCACGGTGCCGATCTCGGTGTAAAGTGGGAGAGTGGAGCCGTGGTTTGTCTTGCCTCACAGCAGGAGAGTTGGCTCGACCAACTGAGGCTATGGTGCAGTCGCTGCGAGGGAAGCACCCAGCTAGCAGTGGCGAGGTACCACCGTGGGTTCGTGAGTTTACTGTCGACGCTCCTCAGCGGCCTCCACTCACGACCGACATTCTGGCTAGAGCTATCCACACAGCTGCTCGCGCCTCAGCTGCAGGGCCATCGGGATGGGTCACAGAGCATCTGCGCGACACTTTCCTCACGGAACCTTCCTGCCTCTCCCACCTGCTGGAAGTGTTCAACCAATGGGTGGCGGGACAGGTCCCCGAGCGAGCTCGGCCCTGGCTCGCCGCATCCAACCTAGTCGGGCTTTCCAAACCCAACGGTGACGTCCGGCCGGTGGCGATCGGGGAGGTGCTTCCGCGTATCCTCGCTCGAGCTCTCTGCATCTCGCTTCGCCCTGTGATGGCTTCTTATTTTCTGCCGTGTAACCAGCTGGGAGTGGGCACCAGGGCCGGGGTGGAGATTCTTACTCATTCTTTCCGGTCAGCGCTGGCCACTCACCCCGACTGGTGTGCGCTGCAGATAGATGTCGCGAACGCCTTCAATTCGTTTCATCGCCACGCGATGTTCGAGGGGCTGAAGGAGTCGCCTTTCTCAGGAATGATCCCATTCTTGCGTGTCTTCTATGGGACACCTAGCGACCTGTACCTCCGAGCGGGCCCTTTCGTACAGAGTCTTGAGTCGGCACGAGGATCGCGACAGGGGGACCCGCTCGGCCCTTTTCTTTTCGCTTTCACGCAGCAGCAGGTGCTGGGGACGGTGACTAGAGAGTTCAGGGACCTACTTTTCTTGAGCTATGCAGACGATACCTACATCCTGGGACCAGCGGCTAGGATTCTGGAGGCTTTTGGGGTGCTGCGAGAGAGGTTGGAGTGGGTGGGGCTGGAAGTGCAGGCGCACAAGTGCAGGTTTTGGGAGCGTGGAGGTGGGGATATGGAGCGGGCATTGCCTTTGGGGATGCAGCGGGAGGAGGAGGGTCTTACTGTGGTGGGCGTGCCTATTGGGGAGGAGGATTGGGAGGGGGCCCGATTACGGAAGCGGCTTCGCGAGTTGCAGGCGCCATTGCCGTGGCTCCCCCTGCTCGACCACCCCCAGATGGCCTCGCATCTCCTCGCTATTGCAGTTTCAGCACGGCCGATGTACCTGGCCCGGACTATGCCGCCGCGGCCGGAGGTGGTGGAGGCCTTTAGAGAGTGGGACAGCTGTCTGGAGGATTGCTTTGAGCAGCTTTTCCCCCCTGGCACTTGGGAGCAGGATCCCGGCAGGTCTAGGCGCGCACGCATGCAGCTGCATCTCCCTGTGCGCCTCGGAGGGTTTGGGATCCGGGCGGCGGCCTCTTTGAGTCCGCTCTCCTATGTTTGTGGGTGGGCGCAGGCCGCACGGGATATTGCACATTTGGGGGTGGCGGGCGAGGAGGCGATGTTCGCAGAGTACCTCACCACTTCGGCGGGGGCGGAGCTTCTTGACCCGTGGTTTGCCAAGGCCATTGAGCAGTTGCCCGCGACTATACGCCAGGAGCTGCCGGACTTACCCCTGTGTGTGGCGGCCCCTCCTCTTCGGCTTTTCCAGGCGCGGCAGCGGCAGTTGGCTGTTGAGGAGCTCCAGGCACTCCGCCGCTTGGCTCGTGACGATGCCACCCTGGCCCGTTTCACATCCCTTCAGGGCCCGGGGGCTGGTGCATGGGTTTCGGCAGTTCCGGCTCATTCAGATCTCACATTCACTGCAGCGGAGTGGGGCATTGCTGCTGCTATACGGCTTGGTCTCCCAATCCAGCAGCTGCAAGTGGCGGGGAAGTGTGTTTGTGGCACAGCGTATGATGACCCAGCAGACCCGCATCATGCGCTGAGATGCAAGCACCAACACGGTCCATCTCGGGTGCATGATGAGGTGAAGTTTGCGGTGGCAAAGATCGCTAAGGCGTCAGGGGGGGTGGTGACGATGGAGGATAGTGCGGTGCTGCCGGGGAAGCGGGTTGACGTAGCGGTGCGACGACCAATGGCTGGGGAGGCTCATGCTTTAGAGATTAGTGTCGCGGACCCGCTATCACTGTCTCCATCTCTGCTAGGGCAGTGCGGGCGGTCTATAGGCGTGGCGGCAAAGGAGTGGGAGCGTCGCAAAACGGGGGATTACGCGCCTCTTCTTGCACGGAACCGAGGCGTGCAGTTCACCCCTTTGATAGTGGAGACGTGGGGGTGTCTCGGCGGTCGCTTCCGGCGGTGGCTTCGACAGCAGGGGGACGCGCACGTGGGGCTAGCTGTGTCACGGGGGGCTTGTCGGGAGGATGACACTTCGTTCTCGGCTTACCTTTTGGGGTCTCTGAAGGCGCTCATCGGAGTGGCGTTACAACGGGCGCAAGCTCGTGTCATCCTGCTTCGGGCGGCGTCTTCCATGGGGGGGTTGAATGTGGACTTGGTGGATCGGGAGAGGGACGATGTCGAGGTGGAGGGCGGGCCTCTTTGGGTGGAGGCCCCCTACATGGTGGATGTGCAGATGTGACTTGGGGGGGGGGGGGGGGGGGGGGGGCGAGGGGGAATGGGGTGCGAGATGGGACGTCTGGTAGGGGATCCTGGTTGGGTTTTTTCTTTATGGAGTATTTTTATGGGGCTTTTTATGGGTGTTGCGTTTGAGTTGTTTCTGGTGTCTTTCTTTCCCTTTTCCTTCTCCCTCTTTCCCTTTTCCTCTTTCAAAAGCGTGAAGCCAGTTTCTGGGACTTAATACTGATATCGTATGTGAAGTACATGAAATAAGGATAACGGAGGATAGTGTAGGATATATTGTAGGATAACACAGCAACATGAAGACTTCGGGTATGTAACATTCAGACAAAAGCAACTAGCCTGCTGAATGCCTAGAAAACCAGATCAGGTCGTTTTTACAGTCAGGGAAGGGAGGCGGAGCAGAGAGGAATGGAAGGAGAGCGGAGGTAAGTGAAATTTTCAGCAATGGGGAAAAGGCACAGGCGGCAAGGGCATGGCACTGAAAGAAGCACAGCACTGGCAGGGGCATGGCACTGACAGGAAAGCGTGTTAACCCTAGCTGCCCCAGACGCTCTAGGTGAAGTCCACTCAAAGATTGGTAGCCCTAGCTGCTCCGCTGGCGCCCTGACCGTCAACCTGCTGCCTGCAGCTGTCTGGTAAGCGACTGTTCTCCCAGTATCACTAACCACTCATCACGTAACAATTCCGTCACCTGAGTGATTCAAAAACAAACTAAAAGCCTTCTGTAGCCGTTCTTCACACTGCCCCTTAAGCTACGTCAAACTGCCGTTAAGCTGCTGCCTGCAACTGGCCAGAAGCGGACAGCTCTCGCAACAAGACGAGTAATTCCTTCGCCTTGTCCCCGGCAGAACCCTTCGCCTCGCGGGTAACCCTATGCAGCGCAGGCACAACCCCTTCGCGACTAATCACCCTCCTCGCCTCCTCGTCATGCCTCGCCAGCAGCAACAACGCGCTTACAGCCTCCTGCCTAGCCTTTTGTGACGTGGTCAAATCCAATACGTCCGCGATAACTTCTAACCCTCCGTTACCGTTCGCGGATTTCGCCTCCTTGATCGCGCGCCTACCCATCGACGAACACGCAATGAACGAAACCAACGCCATCGCTCTATTCTCCAAATCCTCGTTCGATTCCTGAACCATATTCAGCAAAATACTCAACCCGCCAGTGTTTAAAAACTCCTCTAGCAATTCACGGTGGTGCTCGCTGCCGCTTAGCAAAGCGAGAACCGCCAGCACCGCGTCGACCTTCCCCCGCGTGCTGCCCGAAAGGAAAATCTCAACTAGGGCAGGGATAGCTCCGGCTTTCCCGATTCGCAATTTAATTTCTGCTAGCTGCTCCCGAGCCTTTTGAGCCGCTGCGTCAGCGGAAGGGGTAGATGATTGTGGGGGCAGAGCTTCCCCTTTACCCTGCTCCGCCCCAGCCCCATCCGCAGTAGCATCCGCAACCCCAGCTGTAGCATCCGCAGCGCCAGGGGTAGCCTCCGTCCTGGCTGTAGCAGCTGCCGCCTCTGCTGGCCCTGTTGCGGCTTCCCCTGCTCCGGATGTAACATCATTAACCCCTGCTGCTGCTTGCGCTGAACCCTCAGGCTGGCTGGGACTGTTGCCAGCACCTGAGAAAACACCTGAGAATTCCCTCGAGTCGTAAGGGGAGCGCAGCAAGGCGGTAGACGCCGTGGGGGACTTTAAACTCGGGGAGGGGGGAAGGGACGGGGTGTGCGGCGATGACCTGGCGGACACCGCTGGTGACGTGGAAATAGCGCCGACTGACGTGGATCGTCCCCTGGTTGGGCGCGACGGCGACGGCCCTCTTGACCCCCTTCCGCCTTTCCCGCCGCCGCTGGCGGTCTGGATGCCCCAAGCAAGGCAGAACAGCGCAGCCGCCGCGTTCTCCCGCGCCGCTGATTTCTCCGCCCGAAGCGCCTTAACCAGCGCCTCCAGCCCGCCCTCCGCGCCGCTGACGATCGCGTCGCGCCCACCTTCCTCGCGACACACGTTGTACAGAACGGTCACCGCGTGCTCGACCGTGTCGCCGTCAGGCGACTCGGCGACGAGATTAATCAGGAACTGGACCCCGCCTGCTTGGATCAACCGCTTCTTATTCTCCGGGGTCGCCTTAATCGCCGCGCGCACCGCCTTCACTGCGTCGCGGATCGCGGTGACGTCCGCTTGACCAATCGCCGCAATTAGCGGGCCGAGACGGAGGGGCTCCACCGGAGGAGCTGGGGCCGCGGCGCGCTGTGGCGAAGGGGAGCGCGCGTGCCGCCCGGAGAAGCTTCCGCTTCCGCCGATCCCTCTGCGAGGAGGGCGGCGGCCGGGGGTGCTGCTCGCGACGGCGAGCGGGCAGAAAGCGTACATGTCGGCGTTGCTCACGGCGCTCTTCACGCCGTAGCTTTCGGGGCTGCGCTCGAGCGACGCGGAGCGCGGTCCGGAGGAGGAAAGGGGAGGATTAGCCGACGTGAAAGTGTGAGCGTGAGCGTAAATGCCGGTCGCACTTCCAATCGAGTCGTCGCGGCGCGAAAACTCATTGCGACGCGATGGCTCGAACCGCGCGGAGAGAGGTGACACGGGAACGGGCGACGCGGCGAGAGGCGACACGGGCGCGTCCACGTGACCGTTGAAACTCCGCGAACGAACCTGCATCCCGCTCTGATTTTCGCCCGCTGCTGGAACAGCACCTGCTCCCTTGCGCGAATCGGCGCCGCGATTCCCGCCAGAAATGACGCCGCTAGAGCCGCCGCTGCTGCTGCTGCCGCTGGTAATATTTATCTCCGCGCTTACGTTGCGGCTCCCGCTGCTACTGCTGCTGCAACTGGCGGGGCCAGTAGTGTCCGTCGTGCTGCGCCTAACGTTGGCAGCTTCGGGGAAAGCGCGCAGGTTCGGCGTTGTCTTAGAGAGCGGGGAGAGAGGCAAAGGGGAAGCGGACGGGGACCGGGTGGGGGAGGGGGAAGGGGACGCGGAGGGGGAGGGGGAAGGGGAGAGCGAGCCGCGACGCGACGATGCGGCGAGGGACGCGGAGAGAGGGGAGAAGAGCGGCGGGATGCAGGACGGCGTGGAGGCAGACGTCGGCGTGCGCGCGTTATACGCGCTTCGTAGCGATGCGAGGTTCTCCTGGCTGTTGTTATGGCGGTGCGAAGGGAACGACGTTTTCAGCGGCGGCAGACGCGACGCGAACGCGGAGAGAGCGCACGAGACCTGGCCCGTGGGGGAGTACGGTTCGCCGTCGTCGTCTTCCGCATTTGGCGGCGGAGGAGCCGCGGAGGACGCGGAGGCTTTGATCATCGAGAGCATGATGCCGACGGGGCCAGAAAACGGCACGCGACGGCGGAAAGGCGACGCGCTTCTCGCGCGAGAGGAGCGGCTCCTTGGTTCGTCGACGCGGCTGCTCCGAGATTCCGCTCGCCCAGTCCGAGCCGCGGGTGCCGCCGCCGGTACTGCCGCAGATCGCGATTCAGAAGTGGAATTCGACCGACGAAAGACTCTTGATGGCGACGCGGAGCGCAGAACGCTCGACCACGAACGTCCCTCTCTCCGTGAAGACGATTTGTCGCGAGAACGACTCGTCGTCGTCCAATCAGCGTCCGCGTCGCCGTCGCTAGCCGCATCGTCTTCGTCGCCGTCGTCGTTCGGCCCATGTGCGAAAATGTCGTCGCGAGGAGCCATCGGCGCGCTGTGCAGGGCCCGGCTTCCGCACGGCAGCGTTCGGCTGCGACGAGACTCCGGCTGCGGCGTAGGCGATGTAACAGTTACCGCATCGGTGCTCAACGAAACCGTTTCGCGAAAGGACGAGCTGGTTGAAAACGAGAACTCGTTTCCGCCGGCGCGGTCCGCAGCGGTCCTCTCGCTGCCGCACCGGCCCAACTCGCGCCCACTCCGTTCCGCCGCGCCCCCCCTTCCGCTCCGTTCTTCCATCCCGCCACTGCTTCGCATTTCCGCATCCCCCTCCCAATCCCGCGTATCCCGCTCCGCGTCGAGCGTCCGAACCTGAAACATGCCCCGTGATCGACCGTTGAAAGACTGCGTTGGACGCGCCCCTGGAGTCAGAGCCTTAGCTAGCGGCGGCCGCGGCGCCGGATTTTTCTGCCCATCCCGTGAAGCAGTGGTCGAGTGCATCGGAGAGCGGTAGAATTCGGTGATGGCGGCAGAGGCGTTCCAGTTGCGTTCGTCGACGGCTGAAGACGAGAGGGAGGGTGGAACGAAAGGAGTCGCGCTCTTTGGAGAAGAGAGCGCCATGTTTGGGAAGTGTAGAAGACTCCAATCTCAGGCTAACGTCTAAGCTAAGGACAGCGATGCTTGGTCTAGGGGTTTGCTCTCGCTAAGTAAATCAGGGAGGTCGTGCTCGAGAATGTTCTATGGCAGGTCACTAGTTTGTGCTGATCTGTCTAGACAAATTTTGTCGCAGTTCGCCAGTCTGGATAATGTTGAGCTGAAAATTAATCAAACAATCGAGCTTTGTTTTGAATGGCTCTGACAGATTAGCCAGGAGTCCTGGGCTCTGGATGGCATTCGCGTCTTATGACTTCGAGATCGAGTCGACTCGAGACGAGACTTCGAGAGAGTGGAGCGGGGGAGAGGAAGGATGAGACGAGGCAAGCGGAATCTGTCAACTGGAATCTGGAATCAGTTGGAAATGGCGAGCATTGCGGCGCTGTCAACAGCTTGCTGGAAGCGCACGATTTTCAATGTTTCCGCTGTAAGCTTGTCGAATAGCAAGCAGCACAGTTGACCTTTGATTGGGTTTCACGGGTTTTTTCTGCCCTAGTTGTCGGCTGGCTGGCATTGGACGGGAGGTTGAAGCTACCTGTATTCGAGAATCGAGAGACAAGTCGGGCATGGTGACACGCAGAAAAATATCCCAAGGTGTAATTCTGCTGCTTGAGGCCTCAGAAGTTGGAGATTTTAATGCTTGAATCTCTAGTGGTGAGGTCACTCTTCGTGTAGTCTTCCAGAACCTGGTTTCTGTGATGCTTAGTGCCTCTGAGACATTGGGTTGCAGCCGCGGACAAATACAAATAGCCTACAGGGAGCACCCACTCCCCAGCCAGGTCTAAAAGAGTCCGCTTTTGATGTTTTCGTTTCCCGAACAGCAGAACAGGGATATGCTGCAGCCCGAAAAACAAATAGGAATTGCAGCGGATGCTCTTTGCCAGCGCTGCTGGCTCTGCCCACCCCACCTAACGAACCAGGCTTCTGGAACGCATCTGGTTTGTGATCGCGAGGGATTTTGAGTGGACGACGAAATGCTGCCGTATGGATGGCAGCTTTGGCTGCTGGTGCTGCCACAAGCAGCAATGTCCTCTTGAGAAACCGCGTGAAGTGAAGGGCGAATTTTCGGCCATTGGGGTCCAATTTTCCCGCATGCGACAATCACTGCGATTGGGATATGAAAATGGTGGATGTGGTCTCGTTTGAAACCGCAGATCACAGAACTACACGGGTAAGTGAAAAAAATCATTGTTTAATATCCACACAAGGGAAAATGAAGGCAAACATGCTCTCATGATTGAAAAGATATGTATCATTGCAACATTAATTATGTTTCAAATATTTATCCTACTTTCTATAATGACTAGATAACTACATTATTTTCATGTTCAGGGTATGCATGTATCCATCAAATTGCAAAGACATGTGTACATCTGATTTTTATCATGTCGAATGACTCAATAATGATTCGCCCACTGACATGTCACACAACACGAAGCGCCCGTCTGCGAGGTTCATGTTCTGCGACTTTTCCCTCTGCCCCCTCCCGATTTTCGTCAGCTGAACACCTGTCTGTCGCTTCATTGGCCTCGCTGCGCTTCCCAGGCATGGAGCCGCGCATCACCCTTACATGCCCGTAGTTTGCCCTCCCGAACCAGATGTCACTGGTGTTCTCTGGTTTCTGCCCGCGACACGGGAGCTTCGCATACCAGCCTTGATGTTCCCTCCGCTTGGCTTGACCTTGAAGTGCATACTTCGCAAATGGAAACAGGGTGACGAGCGTCACCACAGATTTGGAGTTCTTTGTTCCAGATGCCCAGCCGATGTCCCAAACCGCTGTCGAGCCTCGCCTCAGACCTGACCCGACTGACTGCGCGTCTCGTCCATACACACCTGCCGCCCTTCACGCCCCTGTGCTCGGTAGGGCGCGGCCGGAGCTCCACAACCAAGCCCAGGGCATCTCGCCTGCTGTCTCCCCAACGAGACCTGCTCGGTTCGGCAGCGCGGCAAACACACTGGCTTCTGCCCGTTTGCTTGCCTGAACCATGGACAGAGGGGATGATGGCGAGGTGACAGACCACATCAGTTTCGAACCCAGTCCCATCCAGCCTTATCCGATCAAACCTCATCAAAACCTATGGCATCCCTGTTCAAGCCCCTCAACCCATCGTCCCATCAAACGCACCTGAAGGTCCAGGCCCAAGAGATCGCCCCACGTGTGTGCTGCCATCAGTTGAGCTTCGCCTTGCGCCGTGATGGTCAAATTTGCCTGACTGCACTACGAGGCCTTCAGATGCTTTGGGTTCTAGTCCCCAATCCCCGTTTCTTCACACACAGCATCTCGCTGTGCAGCTTCCGTAGCGTTTCTGAGTGAAGCTCTTCCTCCATTTTCTTTCTCTTTTACAAAGCTCTTCTTGTTTCTTTTCGAGTCACGAACGGTGCAATCGATGAGATCTAGACCTCAGCGTCTCGAAGCCATGTCGCCGTTCTCTCGGTCCTCGTGTGTGGCTCTACTCGGACTGCTGCTTGTCTTAGGATCCGCTTGTCACGCGCAGAAAGTCGTCAGGCTCGGATTTCTGTTGCCGTATCCTGAGGGCGACAGCGCGGTCCCAGAAAGGCTAGCCAACGAATGGTGAGAAATCTCCGCCTGACGTACGAATTCGTCTGACTGAAATCACCCTTCATGCATCACCTGGCTTCTGTTGCCGTTTTTGAACCAAACACGAGTACGCGATTTCAAAAGCAACAGAAGAACATCATGATTCTCCCGTTGCGACTCAACAATTCATTCTAGTCTGACTCATTGATCTTTCGACATTGCAGGATTTCGGCGGTTCGCGTCGCCATGGAGGTGCTGGCTCTCGACTACGAGGGCGCGTTCCTTGTCGAGCCGTTCGTGAAGAACTCGAGGTGTAACAGCACCGCTGCTGCTGAAGCTGCCAAGGTTCGTCCACTTTGCCACTATCGCTTTTGTAGGGAATGCAGAGAGGACCACGAGTAGTCGAGGTGCAACGGCGTCGCCGCTGACGTCGCTACTGTCACTGCCACGGTCGCTCCGGTTCCAAAGAGGTTCAAAACCCATGGCACTTGAGAAGGGAAATAAATCTATTGACGAAGTGACGCACGAGGACAGGTAATCACAGACCCAACGTCGCGGCGCTTTCTGGTCTGCTCTATTGACGAAGTGACGCACGAGGACAGGTAATCACAGACCCAACGTCGCGGCGCTTTCTGGTCTGCCCTACGGGTCTTACTTGTCAATTGTGCGTGACTCTCCTGCGTCACGCGTCTTCTTGGCTGCTGGCGACGCTCAAGTTGTTGCCTCCCGTCTCTGGTGAATCCGAAGCTGCTGGTGGCCAAGTTTGGGCTTGGTGGAGCCATCATGCTTGGAGGCATGCTTGGAGGCGCATTACAATCAGCCTCGAAACTTGCTCATGTTTTCGCGTCTTCTCAATCCCTGTTATCTCCATCTGTGCTAATTCAGGAGCTGGTAGCGGGTGGAGTTATGGGCGTGGTGGGACCGGCTTGCTCCGAGGCGGTTGCCGGAGCCAACACGGTTTTCAAGGATGCGGGGATTCCGTTCATCTCATTCGCCGCCACTGCTGACGCTTTCGCCGATGACGTGGCGTTCCCCACCTTCTTCCGCACGGTGTACGCGGACCAGCACCAGGCGCGCGCCATGATCTCAGTGGTGCGTTACAAGGATCTCGTTTTGATCACTTGTTTCCGTGATGGCAAACGCCTTTCCATTGCAATCACATAGATAGGTGCTCTTTAGTTCATTGGTTGGCCTGGGTTTCTTATTTTCCTCCTGGTTTGTTATCGTTTCTGTTGTCATTGTTGTTTTGTGCAGATCAAGTACTTTAACTTCAAGCAGGTCAACCTCTTCCACTCCGCCGAGCTCTACGGCAGATCGCTATCGGGAGTGCTCAAGGTATGGTGTGTCTGTTGTTCCGCTTTCCAAGTGCGAGTTCCGCTTCTCGCGAATCTTTCATGGTTGACTAGTTGCACAGCGTGTGAAAGAGCGTTATTATACTTCCGTATCCTGCTCCCCTGTTTCATCTTGCAATCCTGCTAAAATTTCGTGTCCTGTCTGTTTGGTCAAATTTCAGAGAGCCTTGGGCGACGCGGCGACGCAGATCGAGATCGCGTATCCCGGGACGGACAACCCGGTGGACTACGAGCCCTACTTCGACGGCGTGAAGTTCAACGAGGGCTCCATCAACGTCTTCATCACCCTCCCCAACGTCGCTGAGATGCTCTGGAAGGCCGCCTACAACCTGGTGAGCACACGGCGCGCCTTATGCCTAGTTTTGGACTCATTTTTTTTCCTTATGCCTATCATGGGAAGCTGTTGCTAGGAGCATATTCTAAGTGAAGGCACACAAACCAATGATTTGTGTGTCCACAATACATTTGATTTTCTTTCCGCAGAACTACACCAAGTTCCCGTGGTGGTACCTCGGATCCGACGGCGCCGTGGCGTTCGATCTGGTGACGGACGGCGATGAGCTCAACCACCTCACGCACGCGCTGCAGGGCGAGATGGGCGTCGCGCCTTACAGTGAGTTTTCCCCTTCCCCCCATCGCCTCCCCTCCCCCTTCCTCTCTGACTCCCCCCATCCAACGCTCATACGAAAATGCACGTTGCGGGAGAATAACCCAGCTGATTATACACTTCGTTCTGTTATACGCCTAAATATTTTTGCATGAGGAAGGGTACTCACAGCACACAGAGAAGTCATACATCTAATCGAAAATCTCGTTCTTACCCTTGAATTCCCCCACTGCAGAGGGTAACTACAACCCCCGCAACTCTCCCTTCGTGCGGTTCATGGACTTCTGGAAGGAGAAGTCGCACGAAACATACCCTGGCCTGCTCAGCCTCGACGTGTCGCCCAGGGTGAGCTACACTGTTACACTGTTACTTGCGAACGCCTGGTAGAAGGCCCAGGGCAATTGCTTGTTCTTTTGACTGCACTTCGGTTCAGCAGGTCACATGAACCTCAACGTTTGCATGAAGCTCGTTTGTCTTTCCCTAATGTCCCTCCGTCACTTACCCTTTCCATCTCTCGCATTGCTCTCTTCTCCAGTACACGGAGGCGCGTGCGTACGTCACCAACCTGGTGGATGCCATCTGGGCATTCTACCAGGCGTTCAACCACATCATCTCCGTCAACAGTAAGTGCCTTCAACAAGCTTCTTTCTCTGATTCTTAAATAAAGAGCTGCGAGATGTTTCAACACCCATCACCTCTTCAACTCTGCAGTTTGACCTAGTATCGATCACCCTGGTCTTTGTCCCTCTGATAACCCTGTAGCGTTCTAACTCACTCTCTCACTCGCTCTGCTACACCCTCGCTCTCGCGCCTGCAGAGGATGATGTGACGTCAGCAGCAGTGATTGACTGCTTCAAGGACAAGCCGTCTGGGTGTCTGCGGTTCAACGGCGCGTCGGGCACAGTGTCGTTCAACAATGTGACAGGGGAGAGGGACTCGGAGGCTCAGACGCCCGAGTATGGGTTCTACAATCTGATTGACCAGACGTGGAAGGAGAAGAGCAAGTGGGTGCTGAACCAGAAGGACATCAACCCGGACCTGCAGTACGTGCTTCGGCCCGGACCTCTGCCGGCGGGTTGGAGGGACAATCTGACGCACCAGATGGAGGCGCCTCAGGCGATCATTCCCAAGATGTCGGAGATTGGTGTCGCCGTGACTTACAACCAGATGGAGGTAAGATATTTATGCCTGATGCTTCTTGCATTGTTCAGTGCTCGGGTATCATCACAGTGCATCCTGTGTCAGGTCTCTAGACCTCGCATCCTGCACACAAGGGCTACCCGCTGATGTTATCCTTATACTCCTGTCTGTCCTGCAGGCAACCAAGAACGCACAGAGCGCTAGCACCAGCAGTGGTGGTGGCAGCAGCAGCGCGGCCAACGCAGGAGCGATTGTGGGGCTGGTGCTGGTGGTGCTGGTGGTGGTGTGCTTCCTGTCCTACTCCGCCTTCTTCCTCTACAAGCGTTACAAGCGCCACCCAGAGCACCAACAGTTTGTGCGCATGCTGTAGAGTTGATACCTCTCGTCTAGCTAGTTGCGTGTTTAGCGCAAGTAGGGAGGGGCCCCATTAGTTGATGGAAGATATACATGGGGTTGCTCCAGTGGCTTATTTGTTTAGTTAGTGCTGAATAATAAAAGTACAACGTGTTAGCGTGTTTCTTTCCTTCACAAATTCAGATTGAGCAACCAATAGTCTGGTCTAGACAATGGTACAGCATGACGAGCACCATAGCTGCTTGTTCATAGTATGAAGTGAGGTGCTGGTTTGCTAAATCATCAGGCATGCCAGGAAGTTATTGACGTATCCCAATCATCAGTACCAACAGTGCTCATGCAAAGAACAGTATCGAAGTTGAAATTTGAGAGTTTGCGTTTGCATGCACAAGGGCTTTACATAACAGAGCAGCACTATATAAGGACCAACCAAGCTCAAGAGTCAGCTAACAGCGCCTAAACTCCAACGGACACAGGCTGCGGGTTGTTAATTCCTCCCAGGAATGACATGTAGCTGCCAGGTGCAGGGCCTTGGTCGATGAACAAGTCATCAGGCACTCTCAGGGAAGCGTGGATGGCAATCGCGACGAGTCCTAGCGTCACACCCGACATAAGGACGGACCCAACTTTTGTCAGGCCGAAGATCACCAGAACTGAGATCGCAATCATGCCCAAAAGCTTCTCAGTTTCGCTCAAAACCCTTCCTCCAATCACCAGCGGCTGCGAGTGGATCATGAAGAGATAGACCCAGGCTGCACCCAGAATTCCGAGCCAAAAGATGGAGACAGGGTTCCAGAGGATGCTGAGAGCGACCATCCCGAGGATGATAGCAAGGTAGTTGGCCTTGAAATACACGATGTTCTTTCGGATCCTGCTGACTGCATCGTTGAAACCCTCGGGTTTGGCAATCTGAGACCTGTCTACTACCTCGGCCCAAGGACGTTGCTGAGCGATCGCTGCTTGAAAAGACTCGGAAACTTTGGCAAGAGAAGCTTTCACAGCCGCAACCTGCGGATTCACAGAAGCTCCCTCAGCACCTTCGACGACCACTTGTGGTTCAGGGGCCATGCCTTCAGAGCAAGTCAGGATCGGTCAAAAATTGCACAAACCTACAACCTCTTTAAGATGAACGCGCTGACTTAGTAGGCTATTTAGAAAAGGAGGAAGACGAATCTGACACCAGGAGGAACGAACTGAACTCGACAGTGCGACAAGTTCAAGCCAAGGGAACTGCAGAAATAAGTAGAGGACACCAACAAATTTGAGCTTGCAGGGAGGAAGCAAATAGGGCTGCAGCAGGCGCACACTGGGGACAGGCACGCGGCGGTGTTCTAAAGTCACGCCATGTTGCAGAGGGAGGAGGCACAGACACTGGCTAGTCGGTGAAATAGGTTTGCCAAGGGAGGGCAGGCTATGACGTTTGGGTGATCGCTGATTTGACAGGTGAATTCGGCTGGTTCGTTTCTGGCTTGGTAGATTCGGCGGGATGACCGTTTCGGTGCGGTCAGCCTAGGTGCACCGATGCCCAGCGAAGTTGTGGCGGGAAACCAGACCTCGGGTTCTGGTTTGCTTTGCGTGGATGTTAGGTCTGTGACCGAAAGGAAACAATGTTACCAAATACGCGAATTGACTGCGAACTGCTTCACCGGTCGGGTGAAGTTGGCGAAAAGTTCCAAGACTCCAGCGTCGTTCATCCCTGGTGACTGGCCCACACCGTGAACTCCACGGCGCGCAGTGCCGTGGTCGTGGGGAACTGGAAGAAATTTCGTGGTACAGCCTGAATCACCGAAATATTTGAGGTCGCGCCCTCGGGAGTCCCGTGTTCACGAGAAAATTGAATGGGACCTTCGGGGTGGCAGAAACGGGAAGATGATGTTTTCCTTCAGTACACTAACACTTGCTCTAGTACGATAGTAATTGTATATCTCAAATTTGGAGGGCCTCATCCCTACTGCACAATGATGTGAACAGAGTCAACTTCAACACAACAGAACGAGTCCTTGTAGGAACTTGTTGAGAACATCTCTCGTTATCGCCCACGAACCCACCCAACCGCTCGGTGTATTTGCTCAACCCATGAGCAAAAGAGCCCCTTCCTGAGCCACACTTCTAGCATGGCATGCGTTCCGGAATAGTTCAATCGTCAGGGCTAGCGCTGCGAGGTATCTTCAAATAGGTATTGTGCAACTCACGGTTGAAAGCTTGTCTTCTGCAAAGTCCGCAATGGCGGAGCTTCGGGCGCATAACGCGCCGCCAACGTCCGCGGAAACGCGAGTAGGGGAACTTACACTCCCCGCTATGGCGGAGCTGGCGCAAGCCGCGGGGTTCTCATCGGCGCAACCTCCTCGCACGCTGTGCTCTCAGTGTCAGCAGGAACCCGCCAAGTACAGGTGTCCTGGCTGTAGTGCTGCCACGTGTAGCGTGCCATGCGTAAAAGCGCACAAGGTGGCGAGCGGATGCACGGGGAAGCGCAACCGCGCGGAGTTTGTTCCTATAACGAAGTTTGACGACAACCAGTTGGTGTCAGGTGTGACTATAAACGACCATGAACGGGGTAGTAGTGGTCGAGATGTGCAGATATCAGGGGTTCTGCTGCAGTGTCACTTCTCGCAGCGCCACGGTACGATCCCAGTTCAAGCTCGTTATATCGAGACAATAGCGGTCTCTCGTTGCGCAATTCCTCCTTGTGTCGTATTGTGACCAAACCCCCAGAACCCAGGGGTAAGCCCTGCAAAAACCCCCTCCCCTCCTCCCCCTCCCCAACCCCCCACGAACCTCGAACGTCAAATACAGAATCTAGTTGCGTGATTTTCCCTTGTGACCAAACCCCCAGAATTCGGGAGTAAACCCTGCGAAACCCCGCGTAAACCTAGAACCTTGATATTCTTCCATTCGTCTCCCCTCCGTCCCCTCTCCCTCTGCTTCCGCTCCTGCTTCGCCTGCTTGCTTCCCTTTCCGTCCCTGCCGCCTCTGCTGCCCCTAACCATCCCTGACGCCCTGGCCACCCCTCTAACCACCACCAGACCTGCGTTTCCTGGAAGATGCGCTGCTGCACTATGACGTGGCGAAGCGTTCTTGCATCCGACCCCCATGGCCCCACAGCACCTTCCATTCCCCTTTCCCCCGCCTTCCCCCCCTTTCTCTCTCTCCCTGCCCTCGCCCCTCTCCCTTACCCTCCCCTGCAACCATCACAACGAGACCTGCGTTTCCTGGAAGATGCGTTGCTGCAGAATGACGTGACAAAGACCCCATCCCCTCTCCCCCTTAAATGTCCTCTCCTTGCCCCCCCTTCAACCTTCCCCCCGTCTCATCAGACCTGCGTTTCCTGGAAGATGCGTTGCTGCAGTATGACGTGGCGAAGCGCACACGCACGGCTCTAGGGGTCCGCTACGAGGCACAGGTAGGAAACAGGACCGAAGGTTACTTCTTTCTCAACCAGCTGTGTCCTTTAAAGTGTGCTTGACTAAAAAAGCGTCTCTGAACTGAATCAAGTATGGGTAGCAAAAAACACTCTTAAGTAAATATGGGGCAGGCAGCCAGGGAGAGAGGCATGCAGCTGCAACCATTTCTCCAACCGTTCTCCACTCCATTCAACCAATCTCTTACCCCTTTCAACTGTATACCAGGTGGGCAAGCACTGGGGCCGAATGCAGCAGACAGCCAGGCAGAGGGGCGGGCAGCTGCTGCCATGGCTCCCTTCAACTGTTCTATTACCCTGTAAACCATGGTCTACCGCTCTCTTCCTTGTTGAGCCGTGTACCAGGTGGGGAAGCATTGAGGCCGAATGCAGCAGACAGCCAAACAAGGGGCGTGCAGCTGCCATTGCTCCCCTCAACCGCTTTATTGCCCCCTAAACCATGCTGTACCGTTCTGTTACCCCTTCTCTTGTACCAGGTGGGAAAGCATTGGGGCCGCATGCAGCAGACTGCGAAACAAAGGGGCGTGCAGCTGCTGTTAATGCCTCCGGGAATGTCCAAGCGCAAGGCCAACCGCACCTACTTTCAACACAGGTACCGCTCTGAACCCCCCCACACCCCACTCCATACACAACAGCTACTTTCCTTGTTGCTGTTGATGCCGCCGGGAATGTCCAAGAGCAAGGCCAACCGTACCTACTTCCAGCACAGGTACCGCCCTAAACCCCTGCACACCCACACTCACACTCACACTCACCCCGCATTTATAGCCTTGGCATTGAGCTGCTGTTAATGCCGCCATGCATGTCCAAGCGCAAGGCCAACCGCACCTACTTTCAACACAGGTGTGTGCTGTGCTGCAAAGGCAATAGGTACCGTCCCTCTTGCTGCTGTTGATGCCGCTGATGCAGCAGAGGGGCGCGCAGCTGCTGCTGATGCCGCCAGGCATGTCCAAGTGCAAGGCCAACCGCACCTACTTTCAGCACAGGTACCGCTCTGAACCCCCGCACACTCCACTCGATGCATTGCCTTGAACCTACTTCCAGCACAGGTGCGGTTGCCTTTCTCATACCGATGCCACCAGGTATGCGTAAATGCAATGCAAGGCCAATGAAGCATCCTTTTTAGGACAGGTAGTGTTTAAAATCCCACCTAATGAGCTGCCGTTTGTCTTGCTCATTCCAATGCCAATGCCAATGCCAATTCCAATGCCACCAGGCACATGCTATTGCTACCAGTGCCGTTCCAAATGCAGTGCCAGGCTAAGAGAACGAGCATCCAGCACATGTGCCCCTGTCCACTTTACTTCATGTCATGCGATCATCGCAATGTGTAAATGTGTGTCTTCGTGTGTCTACATGTGGTCATTGCAGGAAGCGATGCATCATGTGGCAGGTGCGATGGCAGTTTGCTATCCGATCCATTTCAGTGGAATCTAACAGCAGCCACGTAGATGATAAGGCTAACAGCCGACGCAACAGCAAGGCACACGACAGTGGGGCGAGGAACACGCAAGGCATGGAAAGGAGTAACACGCAAGACATGGAGAGGAGTAACACGCAAGGCATCACCGGCAATTCGATAGGCGTTGCTGTCGCCACAGGCCCGCTCTCAACGTTCCTTTTGCCGCACACGATAGATTCAATGTGAGTACTTGAGAATATTCAAAGCCGTCCCTAACAACTGGCTCGCTCTCAACGTTCCTTTTGCCGCACACGGTAGATTCAATGTTAGTACTTGAGAATATTCAAAGCCGTCCCTAACAACTGGCTCGCTCTCAACGTTCCTTTTGCCGCACACGATAGATTCAATGTTAGTACTTGAGAATATTCAAAGCCTTCCCTAACAACTGGCTCGCTCTCGACGTTCCTTTTGCCGCACACGGTAGATTCAATGTTAGTACTTGAGAATATTCAAAGCCGTCCCTAACAACTGGCTCGCTCTCGACGTTCCTTTTGCCGCACACGGTAGATTCAATGTGAGTACTTGAGAATATTCAAAGCCGTCCCTAACAACTGGCTCGCTCTCAACGTTCCTTTTGCCGCACACGATAGATTCAATGTGAGTACTCGAGAATATTCAAAGCCGTCCCTAACAACTGGCTCGCTCTCGACGTTCCTTTTGCCGCACACGATAGATTCAATGTGAGTACTCGAGAATATTCAAAGCCGTCCCTAACAACTGGCTCGCTCTCAACGTTCCTTTTGCCGCACACGATAGATTCAATGTGAGTACTCGAGAATATTCAAAGCCGTCCCTAACAACTGGCTCGCTCTCAACGTTCCTTTTGCCGCACACGATAGATTCAATGTGAGTACTGGAGAATATTCAAAGCCGTCCCTAACAACTGGCTCGCTCTCGACGTTCCTTTTGCCGCACACGATAGATTCAATGTGAGTACTTGAGAATATTCAAAGCCGTCCCTAACAACTGGCTCGCTCTCAACGTTCGTTCTGCCGCACACGGTAGATTCAATGTGAGTACTTGAGAATATTCAAAGCCGTCCCTAACAACTGGCTCGCTCTCGACGTTCCTTTTGCCGCACACGGTAGATTCAATGTGAGTACTTGAGAATATTCAAAGCCGTCCCTAACAACTGGCTCGCTCTCAACGTTCCTTTTGCCGCACACGGTAGATTCAATGTGAGTACTTGAGAATATTCAAAGCCGTCCCTAACAACTGGCTCGCTCTCGACGTTCCTTTTGCCGCACACGGTAGATTCAATGTGAGTACTTGAGAATATTCAAAGCCGTCCCTAACAACTGGCTCGCTCTCGACGTTCCTTTTGCCGCACACGGTAGATTCAATGTGAGTACTTGAGAATATTCAAAGCCGTCCCTAACAACTGGCTCGCTCTCAACGTTCCTTTTGCCGCACACGGTAGATTCAATGTGAGTACTTGAGAATATTCAAAGCCGTCCCTAACAACTGGCTCGCTCTCGACGTTCCTTTTGCCGCACACGGTAGATTCAATGTGAGTACTTGAGAATATTCAAAGCCGTCCCTAACAACTGGCTCGCTCTCGACGTTCCTTTTGCCGCACACGGTAGATTCAATGTGAGTACTTGAGAATATTCAAAGCCGTCCCTAACAACTGGCTCGCTCTCGACGTTCCTTTTGCCGCACACGATAGATTCAATGTGAGTACTTGAGAATATTCAAAGCCGTCCCTAACAACTGGCTCGCTCTCGACGTTCCTTTTGCCGCACACGGTAGATTCAATGTGAGTACTTGAGAATATTCAAAGCCGTCCCTAACAACTGGCTCGCTCTCAACGCAACGTTCCTTTTGCCGCACACGGTAGATTCAATGTGAGTCAGGAAGGAGGACTTTACAGGGTGCTTTAAAGATTTCTCTAAGATATCCTGCAGCAAGTTTGCAAGTCGTGTTGCTGCCCCCAACCACAGCCCCACTCTCAACCATTCCTTCTGTCGCACACGGTAAATCCAATGTGAGTCTTTGAGAAGTCTCAAAACTCCCCAGAACACAGTAGAATTATTGTGAGTCGGGAAGAAGCACATGTGAAGACTTCACACTCTTGTTTGTCTCGATTTATTCCGTCACGTCGCCGTTCCACTCTCCTTAGAGTCTCGGAGGGTGAGCCTGTTTGTTTAAAATTCGTTTTTTTTTTTTTTTTGGGTTGCGAAGCAACCCTTTACGATCGATTTTGCCAGATTTTATTTTCATAATTATAAAATTTTATAAAATCATGAAAATAAAATTTGTCAACTACAATAATACCCTTCCTGTATGCATGTTGAGCAGTTTTGAATACGGTACTGTTCATAGTGCATTAAACCAAATGATATTTTTGCAATTGTTTAGTGTAGATTTGCTGTACTGTTTGCATTATATGTTACTGTTAGATGATGTTGTGTAATGATAAAGAGATGCATGCGTAATGCATAAATGATGCTATACAATGCATAATGCATAGAATGATGCTATATAATGCATGTGATATGTCATGAATGATGCACATGCACATGATAAAATGCGTGACAGTTAACAACCCAAAAACTAAGCTACCGCCATCCCCTGCCTAGCATGGGGGGGAGGTCAATAGCTTAGCTTAGTACGATATATTCATTGATCCACTCAATGAATATTTTCCTTTCCAATATTCTAACAAAATGGAAATGCAATGACCGTTTGCTCGGTCATTTCATTTCTTCATTTCTTTTTACTGTGTTGTCTCCAAAAATTTTGCACATGTTAGAGATAAGATAAGCACACTAAAAAAGCGACAACAAGCAAAGCATGACATTTGCAGCAAGATGTCAAACATATATGCTGCATATTGTCTAGGCTGTAGTGGGGTAGCCCATATGGGGTACAGCCCAATTAGGGTTTACTACTTGTACTCCTGCATGCTGCTAGTTCACTCATTTTTCCTGCTGCTAGATTCTAACATGGTATCAGAGCACTAAGGTCCGTAGGACCGTTTTTTTCGGGCCCACCTACCGCTGCGGTTACCGCGCTACCCCACGTACCTGCCTGCCTTGCCTTGCCTTGTGACGTGCTGCCCATACGCTGCCTCCTGCTGCCCTAGGCCAGCGCGCTGCCCCTAGAGGCCCGTAAGGCCCGCGCGCCGCCTCTACACGCCCGTCAGGCCCGCACACAGCCCCTGCAGACCGTTAAGCACACTGCTGCCGCGCGCTGCCCGCACCGAGTCGCGCGCAGCCCGCTGCAGCCGCGCGCAGCCCGCACCGAGCCGCGCGCAGCCCGCTGCAGCCGCGCGCAGCCCGCACCGACCCGCGCGCAGCCCGCAGCCGCGCGCAGCCCGCATTGAGCCGCGCGCAGCTCGCAGCTGCCGCGCGCAGCCCGCGCCGAGCCCACGCAGCCCGCGTCGAGCCGCGCGCGGCCTGCTACGGCCTCGCGAGGCCCGCGCGCGGCCCGCAGCAGCCCGCGCCGAGCCGCGCGCGACCTGCTACTGGCCCGCAACAGCCCGCGCCGAGCCGCGCGCGGCCCGCTACTGCCTAGCGCGGCCGCGCGCGGCCTGCATCAGCTTAGCGCGCTGTCAGCGCAGCCCGCGCCGAGCCGCGCGCGGCCCTCTGCCTCGGCCCCGACCTGCCGCTGATGCGGCCCCGCCCTGCAGCTGCCACGGCCCCGACCTGCCGCTGATGCGGCCCCGCCCTGCAGCTGCCACGGCCCCGACCTGCCGCTGATGCGGCCCTGCCCTGCAGCTGCCACGGCCCCGACCTGCCGCTGAAGCGGCCCCGCCCTGCAGCTGCTTCGGCCCTGCTCTGCAGCCGGTGTTGCGGCCCCGACGTCGCCGCTGTCGAGCGCCGGCCCTGCTCGCCCGGTGAGCGCCTGCTCTCCCAGCCTTTGGTGAGCGACTGCCTGCCTGCCTGACGGCCTGCCTGTCTGCCTGCCTGCCTGCCTGCCTGCCTGTCTGCCTGCCTGCCTTCCTGCCTGCCTGCCTGCCTGCCTGCCTGCCTGCTTGCCTACCTGCCTGCCACGCCTGCCCTGCCCGCGCTGCTGCTGCTGCTACTGCTACTGGCAGGTGGCCAGATGCAGCTCCAGCGACGTTCACGCGAGCCTCTCACGCCCCAGCAGCTTAGTGAGTGGTATACTAGCTGGGGTTGTCGCGGTAGCCGTCGTAGCTGTCGCCCTGGGGCTGGTCAGTTGGGAGCGTCTAGCAGTGGCCAGCTGCAGCTGCAGGGGCGTCCACGCGAGCCACTTACGCCTCGGCAGCTCCAGGAGTGGTACGCTCAGTGTAGCAGGTCTACGCGTACCGTTCGCTGCCCGTACGTCATTCGCACAGGTGCTAGGACTGGTCAGCCTTGTGGGACGCTTGGTCACACACAGTCCCGCTGCTTCGCCCGTCTGAGCGACGCCTGGCGCACAGTGTTTGGCGACGAGGCTGAGCTCCCCACCTGGCTGGAGCTGCATGGACAGAGGGTAGATATCTTTGCGCTTGACTATGATGCTATTCTCACTGCCATGTATGCCTTGTCTACTAGTGCTGACCGTGCCTGTTACCTATGCGTACCGCCTGACCCTGGTGAGGCTGCTGCCCTAGGTGCTAGTGCGTCTCCTGCTCTAGGTGCTGGTGAGGCTGCTGCTCTCGGTGCTAGTACGTCTACTGCTCTAGGTACTGGTGAGGCCGTGGCTTCAGGTGCTGGTGAGTCTGCTCTCTCTGGTACTGCGCCCACTGCGGTCTCGCACACCTTCACCCTTGACTCAGGAGCTTCCCGCTCCTTCTTTCGCGACTGCACCGCACTCACGCCGCTCAGTCGGCCAGTTCCAGTCTCCCTGGCGGACCCCTCTGGGGGTCCAGTCATTGCCCACCACTCCACGGTTCTGCCGTGTCCGGCCGTCCCGTCTGGCTTCCTGTCAGGTCTTTACCTCCCCTCGTTCTCTACGAACTTGGTGAGTGGAGCTGACCTCCAGGATGGGGGGGTTCACCAGTTCACTCCTGCGAGTCAGCGAGTGACTCACTGTACGTGTGCTAGGACGGGCCGGCACTTGGCCACGTTCACCCGTGCACCTGGCTCGAGTCTGTACACACTGACCACTGAGTCCCCTCAGGTAGCTGCGTCTGCGTCTACGTCTGGTCAGCAGGCGGCCCCCTGCGAGTGTCGCGCTTTGTCGCACGACACTCTCCTGTGGCACCACCGCCTTGGTCACCCCTCCTTGCCTCGCCTGCGTAGCATGCACTCTCGCTCCCTAGTCTCTGGTCTCCCCAGGTCTCTGCCTGCCCTCCCTCCCTCGCCTGCGCCGCCCTGCATTCCTTGCGTCGAGGGGCGGCAGCGCGCCGCTCCTCACTCCTCCTCGTTTCCTCCCACAGAGGCTCCACTGCAGACGCTCCACCTGGACGTGTGGGGCCCAGCCCGCGTCCAGGGACAGGGCCACGAGCGGTACTTCCTGCTGGTTGTCGACGACTACACGCGTTACACCACGGTCTTCCCCTTGCGGAGCAAGGCGGATGTCCCTGCTGTTTTGATCCCCTGGATCCGCGCAGTTCGTCTCCAGCTCCGCGAGCGGTTCCGGTCGGACTTTCCTGTCCTGTGTCTGCACTCTGACAGAGGTGGTGAGTTCTCCTCCAACCTCTTGGCAGCCTACTGTGCGGAGCACGGCATCACCCAGTCGTTCACGCTTCCGGCCTCTCCGCAGCAGAATGGGGTTGCTGAGCGCCGCATTGGCTTAGTCATGGAGGTCGCTCGTACCTCCCTGATCCATGCGGCTGCCCCCCATTTTCTGTGGCCGTTTGCGGTCCGGTACGCCGCGCATCAGCTCAACCTCTGGCCCCGTGTCTCCTTGCCGGAGACCTCGCCCACACTGATGTGGACGGGGAAGGTTGGCGATGCGTCGCGTTTCCGGGTCTGGGGTGCTCGTGCCTTTGTCCGCGATACCACCGCGGACAAGCTCTCCGCCCGCGCTGTCCCCTGTGTCTTCCTTGGCTTTGTCCCTGACGCGCCTGGTTGGCAGTTTTACCACCCCACCTCGCGCCGTGTCTTTGCGTCTCAGGACGTCACGTTCGACGAGTCGGTTCCCTTTTACCATCTCTTCCCCTCGCTCCCCCCCCCGCCGCTCTTCCTCGCTCCAGGTGCTCCCCAGGTAGACCCCCTCCCCGCTCCCGGTCCTGCTCCTTCAGGTGTTTCTCAGGTAGACCCTCCTCCCTTGACTGCGCCGGTTGAGGTCACTGGTGACTCAGGTCCTACTGAGAGTGGTCCTGCTCGGGGTGCTACTTCTGGGGGTGCTGAGCCTAGGGGTGCGGAGCCTGGGGGTGCTGAGCCTGGGGGTACTGAGCCTGCGGGTGCGGAGCTTGAGGGTGTAGAGCCTGGTGGTGCTGAGCCTGAGTGTGAGGGGTCTGGGGGTGCTGAGCTTGGCGGTACTGACGCTGGAGGTTCTGGAGCTACTGAGGGTGCTGGCGCTGGAGGTTCGGGAGCTGCTGGAGGGCCTAGTACTGGTGACGCTGGAGCTGGAGGTTCTGGAGCTGCTGAGGGTGCTAGCGCTGGAGGTTCTGGAGCCGCTGGAGGTACTGGTGCTGAGGGTACTGACACCGGAGGTTCTGGAGCCGTTGGGGGTGCGGGCGCTGAGGGTTCTGAGTCTGCTGTTGCGCGGTCTCCTTGGAGTGGCCGCCTTCGTCCACGTGTGCCTCTCACCCCACAGCAGCTGCAGGACTGGTACGGTCGCCGTCAGCGTCGCGCTGCTGGAGCTCGGAGTCGTGCTGGTCCTTTGTCTACTGGAGGTGCTGGAGTTGCTGGTTCTGGAGGGGCTCGTGCTGGAGACACTGAGGCTGGAGACCCTGGTACTGCAGGTGCTGGTTCTAGGGGTGCTGCTGCTGGAGACACTGAGGTTGGAGACCCTGGAGCTGGAGGTGCTGGTTCTGGGGGTGCTACTGCTGGCGACCCTGAGGTTGGAGACCCTGGGACTGGAGGTGCTGGTTCTGGGGGTGCTGCTGCTGGAGACACAGAGGTTGGAGACCCTGGGACTCGAGGTGTCGGCTCTGGGCCTGGAGCTTCTGGAGCTGCTGGAGGTACTGGAGCTGCTGGAGGTACTGGAGCTGCTGGAGCTGCTGGTACTGGTGCAGCTGCGCCGACACGACTGTTCTTCGCTCCGCCGTCTCCGTCGTCTCTGCCGCCGTCTGCCTCTGTTCTTCGTCAGGTTCTTACTCTTCCGTCGTCTACTGGTCTTCCGTTACAGTCTGGCTCACCGCTGCCTGCTCCTTCTCCTTACACTGAGCTGACTGGTAGTCCTGCTGAGCGTCGTGAGCCTGCGTCGCGTCCTGTTTCGCCTGTTCGTCCTGGTCGTACCGGTCGTCGTGTTCCTCGTTCGCGTCAGCCGGCTGTCCCCGGCGCACACCTCGTAGTCCGTTGTCCTTCCTCTGCTCCGCCGCCTGTTCCTCTGCCGTCTCCTCCTGCGTCCTCTCTGCCTGCCGTTCCGGACCCTGAGTCTGACCGGTTTCGTACTGAGCACCCTACTGTCACGCGTCTCCTAGCCACTATTGTCACTGACCTGTCCTTTGAGTCTACTGCTGCGTCTGCTCTTGTCGCTGAGCTTGTTGACTTTGCTGCTGCCTGTCGTCTAGACTACACCGCCAGTCTTGTTGCTGAGTCTGAGTCTGTCTGTCCTCCGTCCGTCGGGGGTGAGTGTGCTCTTAGCACGGACGTCCTTGAGGACAGACAGGAGGAGTTCCAGTGTCTTGCTGCTGCTTTACCTCATCTTGTGTCCTCGCTACTTGCCCCTGAGGGAGACCCGGATGCACCAGACATCCCGACTCCGCGCTCTTACGCAGAGGCAATAGAGGGTCCCTACTCCTCTCAGTGGCAGGCAGCCATGGACGCAGAGATGGCTTCCTGGAAGTCCACAGGCACCTACGTTGACGAGGTTCCCCCACCTGGGGCGAACATCGTCAGTGGCATGTGGATTTTCAGGGTGAAGCGGCCGCCGGGTTCTCCGCCTGTCTTCAAGGCGCGTTACGTAGCTCGAGGCTTCAGTCAGCGAGAGGGAGTTGACTTCTTCCAGACCTTCTCCCCACCCCGAAGATGACCACTCTTCGGGTGCTGCTGCATGTTGCTGCTCACCGTGACTACGAGCTTCACTCTCTTGACTTCAGCACAGCTTTCTTGCAGGGCAGCCTGCACGAGGAGATCTGGCTGCGCCGCCCCCCGGGCTTCACTGGGTCGTTCCCTCCTGGCACCCAGTGGAGCCTCCGGCGGCCGGTCTACGGTCTCCGCCAGGCGCCACGTGAGTGGCACGACACACTGAGGACTACGCTTGCGGCTCTTGGGTTCGCGCCTTCTACTGCTGACCCGTCGCTGTTTCTGCGCACCGACACTTCACTGCCGCCGTTCTACATCCTCGTGTACGTCGACGACTTGGTTTTTGCCACTTCTGACACTGAGGCTCTCGCTCAGGTGAAGTCGGAGCTGCAGAAGAGACACACGTGCACAGACTTGGGTGAGCTGCGCAGCTACCTTGGCTTGCAGATCACCCGGGACAGAGCACGCCGCACCATCACCCTGACTCAGTCACACATGGTGCAGCAGGTCCTTCAGCGCTTCGGCTTCACCTGGTCTTCAGCACAGGCCACTCCTCTGGCTACAGGTCACTCGCTCTCAGCTCCACCTTCAGACGAGTCCGTAGAGCCGAGTGGTCCTTACCCAGAGCTAGTCGGCTGCCTCATGTACCTGATGACTTGCACTCGACCTGACCTCGCGTACCCTCTTGGTCTTCTGGCTCGCTACGTGGCTCCTGGTCGGCACCGACCTGAGCACATGGCTGCTGCTAAGAGGGTACTGCGCTACTTGTGCAGCACATCAGGCATGGGGCTAGTGCTTGGAGGGACGAGCCCAGTTGTCCTCACTGGGCACTCAGACGCTTCTTGGGTTGACGACCTGGCTACTCAGCGGTCGTCGCAGGGTTACACCTTCAGCCTTGGCTCTGGTTCAGTTTCGTGGCGTTCTACACGCTCGTCTTCAGTTCTCAGCTCCAGTTGTGAAGCTGAGATCTACGCCACAGCCATGGCTGCACAGGAGTTACGCTGGCTCACCTACCTGCTGACTGACTTGGGAGAGCAGCCTCGTTCTCCTCCAGTGCTGTACGTCGACAACAAGGCCGCCATTGCCTTGTGTGAGGAGCACAGACTGGAGCACAGAACGAAGCACATTGCTCTGCGTTACTTCCTGGCTCGAGAGTTGCAGCAGCGAGGCCAGCTTCGTCTTCGTCACGTGGCCACTCGGGCCAACACTGCTGATATATTCACCAAGGCACTTCCGTCTGGTGATCATCAGCGCTTTTGTACCCTGTTGGGCCTTGTGCCTACGTTTCCACACTTGCTGTAGTCTCTGCTTGTACTGTGATCTATATATATACATGCATGCCTGCTCTTGCTAGGTAGTCATCACTGTACTGTTATTGTTGCATATATATCTCTGCATGTGGACTGGCCTTGTGGCCCTTTGCTTGTGCTCAGAATGTGTGGTGACGTTGAGATCCACCCTGAGCTTGCTTTGCTTCTCTTGACTGGTCGTTTGACCCCTTGTTCTCCCCCACTTTGCCTATGGGGGTGTGTCAAACATATATGCTGCATATTGTCTAGGCTGTAGTGGGGTAGCCCATATGGGGTACAGCCCAATTAGGGTTTACTACTTGTACTCCTGCATGCTGCTAGTTCACTCATTTTTCCTGCTGCTAGATTCTAACACAACCTCACAATTCAAAAGACCGGTAGGTGAATTTTATACCTTTTTAAAAGTTTTTTTTCCCTCAAAATATTCTAAAAAATAAATTTCTCGGAAAAAAAAATTCAGATCGATTACAATAGGTTGCTCCGCAACCCAAAAAAAGAAAACAAGAAAAGTGATGCTACTCCACAGTCACATGTCAGAACGTCAACATGCAATCACTTGTGTAACCCATCCCCTCGAGCAGAGGAGTCATCGCCCTAATCATTGGTGGGGGGCCACACATGAGCGCCAGGCTGTCCTCCCCAGCACGTGGCAGTCTCTCATTGGCCATCGTAGCAGTGACAAACCCGACCCCATACTTCCACCCCTCAGGCACAGGCTCGCACACAGTGTACCACACATGGAACCTTCCCGGGTACTGTTCAACCCACCGGTCCATTTCGTCTTGTAGCAGTACGTCCGCTACACTCCTGTTCCCAAACAGCACCCACATCTCCGTCTTATCCTCCAGGTCGGCCAAAATCGCTTTTGCCACCTGATAAATGGGGGTGATTCCAGTGCCTCCCGCCAGCATAGCCAGCTTCTTCCCCCGCTTCTCCTCCCCACTTACCAGGAAATTTCCTCTCCCGAGATACTCAATATGCCCCAACGGCCCCTTAATCTCAATAGTATCACCAACCGAGAGTGACTCTAGGTGCTGTGACATAACACCCCCCTCGGGAAACTGCGGAACTACCCCCTTAAAATAGATCTTCACGACCAGGTCGAAAAAACCCACTCCGTCTTCGTGTTCTGACGTGGTCGGCGTGTACGCGCGCATCACCAGTTTGCCGCCCACCTTGGCACAAACAAACAAGTGCTTGCCGACCGGCAGCCCGAGGACGTGATTGGGCGAGGGGAGGGCGAATCGGAAGCGACGAACGTCCGGAGAGAGGGAGAGCTTGGAGAGGAGGGGCACGGGGATTCTCTTCTTGGGGTCGAGTGTGGTGGGATGGAGGGGAGTGGGAGAGGCAGGGAGAGGAGTGGGAGCAGGCGTTGCAGCAGCAGCAGCAGCAACAGCAGCGGGAACAGTTACAGGAGCGGCAGCAGTTGAAGCAGGAGCAGCAGCAGCAGCTGCAGAAGGCCCTGTCCCTGTCCCCTCCCCCTCGGCCTCTCCCGCCACATCCCCTATATAGTACTCCTCCAGCATCTTCTTAGCCTTTTCCGAGTGTATGGCATCAAACTCCTCCGTAACATCCGTGCCGGCGTTGATGGTGATGCTCTCGCTGCCACCCGGGTGGTCCTTGAGGAACCGGGTGCAATCATACACCCTCCCATGCACCACGATCCACGGTGACGATTCGTCCGCGTGCCGCTCGATCTCAGCCATTGAGATCTTTCGAACGGACGATCCGGATCGCGCTGCCGAAGCTGCAGGAGCGGGAGTGGGGCCTGGCTTCGCCTGCGAAACAGCAGCAGCAGTAGCAGCAGCAGCAACTGGCACATCAGCCGCCTTGAGAACAGCAGCAGTTGAACCTCCCGCTGCTGAGCCTGCAACCACCTTGCCCTCCACTGCCCCTTCCCCCGGAGTGTCATACATCCAGCCGCCAGGGAGGTTGCCGGGGCGGGTAGGGTGAATGAACTGCAGGGCGATGGAGCCTGCTGGGGTCACTGTGGGGGCCACTCGCACTCGGAACCAGCAGTTGTTCATCATGCCCTGGTGGGTGTGGGGGGGGGAAGGGGAGGGGAGTGAGGGCAGAGAAGAGGGCAGCAGATATGGAGGTGGGCTGGCGAATGGAGCAGAGAGGGAGGGTGCAGTTGTTGTAGTTTTTTAGCCCTCACTCACGATGACATGCCACGTCAGCAGAACTCACTCATGATGACATGCCACGTCAGCTGCCTCCAGCATGATGACATACCACATCAGCAGCCCTCACTCATGATGACATGCCACGTCAGCAGCCCTCACTCATGCCATGCCACGTCAGCAGCCCTCATGACATGCCACGCGAGCAGCCCTCACTCATGTGACATGCCACGTCATCAGCCCTCACCCATGACGTGGCAACCCCCACTCACCATGACGTTCCACGTCAGCTTGTCCGGCTGCGTGTTGGTGGCCTCGTCCCACGCCCGCACTGCCACCTCCTTCACCCCCACCATGTCGACCAGTGGGACCTCGGTTGCCCACAGGCTCCACGTCCAGTGCTTGCCGTGGCTGGTTGGGGGGATGTGGCGGGGATAGGAATGGAAGGGTGCGGATGGAAGGAGAGAGCGGGGAACAGATACTATGAGACACAATGTCCAGTGGCGGGCGGGACACAATGCTTGCCGTGGCTGGCGGGGGGGAGGGATGGGAAGGATGGGAGGGACGGATGAAAGAAAAGGGAGGGAGAGGTTGCGGTGTAGAGAGCAGTTAACAGAGAAAGAAGCAGAAAGAAGCGGTTCTGGGAAGTGGGGAAAGAGGAGAAGCTGGGAAGTGGGGGGAGATGGGGAGGGGGGGAGGGTGGGGTGAAGAGGGGAGAAGGAGGGGAAAGGGATAGATAGGTGGTGAAAGGGAGTACTTACCGAGTGGGAGGGCTGGGGTGGGTGATATCGCACAGCCGCCACGTGCTCCCTCCGTCCAATGTGATCTCGACACGTGTCACCCGCCTGCCGCCGCCCGAATAGGCATACCCCTTCATCGTCACTACCTGCCGGCCTGCGCCGCCCTCCAAAGCCACCACGTCGCCATGGTCCGGACTAACTATGGCAGAGTTAATCGCCAGCTCGTTGCAAATATACTCTTTCTTACGCCACCATCCGTCCCTTGTAGCAGTCTCCGCATCGACGTGCGAAGGAAGAACGCGGTTGTCATGAAAATGGTAGTAGTTTTGCGATTCCTCCCGGGTAACTTCGACTTTTTTGAGCCACTTGACCATCCGCCCGCCGATAAATCCAGGGATAATTACCCTGACCGGAAAACCGTGGTCGGGCGAAAGAACCTGCCCGTTCTGCTCGTATGCCAGGAGAACTTCGTTTGCCGAATCCATTACCCTCGATAACTCCATGCTAGTTCCGTAAGTACTCCCCCCTCCTCCCGGCAGCGTTTCGGCACCTTCGAAGCACACGAATTTCCCCGCGTTCTTCCCTTTTAGCTGAACGCCGCACTTTATAAGCACGTCTCTTAACAAAACACCCTTCCACACCGTCGTTGCTGCCGCTCCTGCTCCCCAGCTAAATCCAACCGTCTGCTTGACAGCGTTTTGCTCCTTTCGCCTATTTCCCACACACACCAGCAGCACAGGAAGCTTCCTGGAAGGCATTGCGAGCAGATCTGCCATTGACAGGCTGGCAGGTTTGCTGACTAGACCGGAGATCTCGATTCGCCACGTGGACCAATCCAGGCGCGGCACGTAGCCGTGGTTCCGAACGTAGTGGAGAGGTACGGGAGTGATGAACCCCGACACTGGTTCGGAACGCGAGGGAAGAACCGCTGAGCCTGCTGCCGAGCCTGAATCCGAGGCAGAGCCCGAGCGTAAGCCGGAGGTTAAGAGGCGGGAGAGCGGCGGCTCGCAGTTGAAGGGGTGCTTTCCGGTTAGACGCACCAGCGAGGGGTGACGGGAGATCCACCTGGGTTAAGCAGGGGGGAGGAAGAGGGTTGAGGGAGGGGGGGATGGGGGAGAGGGGAAACGCGGGCCAACAAAGTGAGACTCCTCCAATCACGGAGCTCGGTGTCTCAATGAGGATGCAACGTTGATTCTCAACAAGATTCAAACTCGTTCCTCAAGCTTAGACCTGACGTACTTGTCAGGCGTGTTGGCATCGCGAGCATCAATTTCAATCGGTTCATCCGCCACTACCGGATACTCGTACTCCTCCTCCCCCTCCTCGTACCCATGTTTGAAGTGGATGCTTGAAAAGGGGGAAAGCGAGGAGGGGAAGCGCAAAGGACGTACTTGTCAGGCGTGTTGGCATCGCGAGCGTCAATGGAATCAGGTTCATCCGCCACCACCGGATACTCGTACTCCTCTTCCTCCTCCTCGTAATCCTCGTCCTCCTCCTCCTCCTCCTCCATTGTCGCCGTTTCATTCGCCTTAACCTTATCCACTTTCTCTGCTTCCTTCGCCTTCTCTGCGACGTTCACGATGCTGTCCGCTGCGACGTTCACGATGGTCTTCTTCAGCTCGTTGAACGCGTTCTCCACGTTCGCGACGGCGTTGGCGATGGTAACCCCATTCGCGACGGGTCCGTCACTTTCGCGACTTTTCGTCAGCACGCCATTCGCGGATGCACCGTTTCGCAAAGAGCTGGCGACGAAGGCCGCAGCGGCGACGGCAGAAGATTCCTGATGGGCCACCATTGTTGTGAGCAGCAACAATCACAGACGCAAAATCTGAATGAAACGAACGAATGGACGATCTGAAGAGAACGAATTACTGTTTCTCGAAAACGCTCGGGCCTGAATTATAGTCCCTAGTTGGATGCGCCGCGGCGACCCGAACGGTTTTCCGTGGAACGAAGGAAGCTAAGCTGCAAAGAGGATTCGCGCAGCTGAGCTAGTTCGACATATCGAATCCACTCTTATGTAACCGAAACTCGCAAAGCGTGAAACGAGACCACGAGAGGTAAGGTGAGACGCGAATCACGCGATAAACGCGGAAACCGGCACGGCTCCAGGGGGTACCGACCACCGGCCAGCCTGACTCAGAAGCTTTGCTCTGATTGGTCGGCTAGCAGCAGCGGGTCGGGATCGAGGAGGCGTGGGGCAGCGACGAACGGTTGGAGATGAGGGGACTTTTTAGAACAAGCTGGCAATGCTGACGCACAATTTTAGCCGCAAGTATACACTTGGCTTTTCGCGGCTCCTACGCTTCGACGGCTTTTCGCGTGACCGTCGTGCAAGGCCAGGGTTGCGCGGGGGAAATTTCAGTTCGCCAACTGCTGACTTACCTCGCTTTCGCGGGAGCCCATGAAGTTCTCCCGGAGACGGAAGGGCTGTCTCTAAATGGATCGTGACCGTTCGCGGGAATCGCGATTCCATAAATGGCGGATGCACTTGCATCCGGATAATCACACCCATCGAATAGAAAAGGCGATCCCGGAAATCCTGCCAACTGCGGAGCCACCAGTTTGTTGTGCTTGGCTCTTGCGAATCCTCGTAAGTAGCTTTGTACACATAAAAAGTGATGCGGTATGCGTGGATCTGATCAGGAAGGTAATAAGAGCAGCAACGAATCTGTGGTGTGAGAGGGTAACTGCACTGCGTAGTCTAGAACCCACGCGATAGGCAGAAGCGGGGAACTGAGGTCGTCGCCGCTTTCATTGATTCGCTCATTTGTTGCGGCCATGGCTTTTAGGAAGGAGTTTTGGCCTGATGGAGGTCCCAAGGAGATGTGAAAAGCCATGGTGAAGGTGATGGTGAAAGAAAGGGTGATTTTCCCTGAGGTTACCCTTTCGCCGTGAGTCCCACTTGTTTGAATATAAGGGCCTGTCCAGAGACTACGTCTGAATGCGGTTCAAAAGGTTTAGGCTTGATCAAAAGCGTTCCTCTCGAACACAAAGTGGTTGAGTAGGGTGATATTTTGCTAAGTAACGAGTCAGACTCGGGTGATCGTGGAGTCCCTTTTCCGCCCTGAAGGTATGCCCGTATCGCTTCAACACCGACCGCTGGCCTTCTCGGGAAGGACAGGACACTGAACAGCCAATCCGAGAGCATCAGCGCGTCAACCTGTTTGCTGATTGGGCGAATGAGGGGCGGGTCATGCGATCAATCCATGACCACCAATGCAGTCTATCCTAAAAAAACACGAGTCCCTAAAATGAGCCCGCTTTGGTGAAATCCGTCTGAAGCTCGATGAGAAAATGCATTTTACATCAGATGAATTCTCTTATCATATGTACCATACCCAATAAGATCTTTTCCCGCCAAGAGACGTAAAACGTGTAAAACGTGTAATACCAACAAGTGCCTGAACCTAACTCACGAGCTTCCAATCTCTCCGCTCCAAGCTCTCCGCCATGGCTCCTAGGAGAACTTTAACTCACACAATGTCAAGCTAATCGCTATCAGTTTCAAGATCTGAATACATATTCCGGATCTACTCATCAAGAGCTTGATTACGACACCATTTTGTGTTCAAACAGAGAACATTGGTTCGTCGCAACTTCCTCTTGTGAAGATCTGTTTTTCAGGTTTTTAACTGGTTTTAAGCTCAAGACATTAAGTTACTCCATGGAAGTGATAATGGCCAAGCTTAGCACAAGTCGTCACCCAAGTTGGAACCTGGACAGCAAGAAAGGCTTGACACACCATGAGAAGAGAAAGTACACAGCAACTGGACCGCCAAATATATTTCGTCTATCAACATTCTCTTCAATTGTTCGACAACAGACTTTAAAAGAGAAGTCGCGTCAGCCGCGGACATGTTTTTTACCACCATCGAGAACTACCAAGTCTGGATCAGCGTTGGTTTCTGACAAGACGGGGTATACATCATGTTTGCAGCAGAAGCAAAATGAAGGACATCTAGAATGGCTCCCGAGAAGAAGTGCAGGTGCAAGAAAGGGTGTGAAGTACAAGGAAATTTCTGGACGGAACATTTTCAGATTATCAGCATTTTCTGCCATCCTACATCGCTCAAAAGCAGGAGCTTCACGCTTGTCATCGCAACGCATTACAAGGAATGTCTACGTGGCTGACTCAAGTCCAGATTTCAAGCAAATGAGGATTCTGACCATATCAGATCAAGAACCACCTATTCTACAGAAAGCTTCACCATCAACTCAGGAAGACGTTTATTCTGTGTTTCTTAGCTACAACTTCTGGCGGCAGGAGGGGAAGGTCAATGGTATCATGGATACAGAGCATAACTTGGTGGATTCTACGGCAGAAAGTTTTCAGGATAAGCTCATGTCGCTGGAGGAAACTGGACTATGGCGCTACGCTAAGACTGACTGTGAGACGCGCGGGGTCTTTCAGAAGAAATCCGTTGCTGGTGCAGCTGCTCCTGCTTTCTCCCCTCGGACAGTGGGGGTAGCTCCCAGCACACCGCTCACGCAACTGCCTGGCACAGGAGGCTTTGGTGTACAAGGCACAGCTAATAGGCAGCAACTTAGATCCAGGGCAAATTCTGCACTCCACCACTCTCGGCGAATCAGATTTGGAGCCAAAGGACCAAGACTGAACATCCGTCACAAAGGTCCCGCTCGGCAGCAATTTCGAACCAGGGTTTTCTCTGTTGGATCCCAACCTTTTTACAAGGCACGGCAAGGCAGGCTCGGAGCCGATTCTTCCCAGCCGAAGCGACAGACACAGAACTTGGAACCTACCGAGGCGTTTCTGCCAGAGTTGAAGTGTGCCAACGGCACAAAGAGGTTTTGTAGTGGGCAAGTTGAATTTTTTAGGCGTTTGGTCTATAAGCCTCCGTAGATCTCTGCGAGGGTACGGTATACACTACCTATGCCCTCTAGCTCCGGTTACGACCAACGGTGTTTTGCGTTGTACGTTGTATAATGCATTTTCACCTACAAAAAAAAAATCATATGTACCATATTGTATGCACCCTTCTAGCCTTCCTCCTCCATTGCCCCTCCACTGCTTTCTTCATCAGAATCATCCCCATCGTTATCAGAAGAATCGCTTTCATCGTCGTCTGAGTCGTCATCTTCAATTAAGCATGACACTCTAATAGTGGGAAATTCTAATATAGTGCGCCCAACCAGCTGCGTGCGAAGGGTTTGTCGGATGTCAAGATCACACAGCTGCTAGATTTCCGGGGAAAAAAAAAAGCAGAAAAACGTCGGGAAGAGAGAAGGTTGGGGGAGGTGAGGGGAGAGTGGGGGAAGACGGGGGTTTGCTGCACATCTACCCCACACAGCTGCCAGATTCTATGCAACAAGCAAGGGGGTGCAGGGAAGAGAGGAGGGGCATATATGACCAAGCCCTGGCCATGTCAAGCGGCGATGCATGTGGAACATGAAACATGAACAGAACGAAACTTCAAGTGGGAGGAAGATGCTTCTAGCTGCAGACTCACCACCTCGAGATCTTTTCCCAGAGGGTTTGAAGATGTCACATAGCAGTAAACGGACATGTTTATAGAGAAGCAAAACCATACCTGGGAAGGGGGAGTTTCTAGCTGCAGTCTCAATCGCTGCAAGACCTCTCCCAGAGAGGCTGCTGGAGGTGAAGAGGAAGGAGCAGATGGGGGCAACGATGCAGCTACTGCTATCGGAGGTGAGACCATACCTGGGAAGGGGGCGTTTCTAGCTGCAGTCTCAATCGCTGCAAGACCTCTCCCAGAGAGGCTGCTGGAGGTGCTTCTGCTGGTGCTGTCGCTTCCGTTGTTGTTGATGCTCCTGCTGGTGCTGCTGCTGCTGCTGCTGCTGCTGCTGCTGCTGCTGCTGCTGCTGCTGCTGGTGCTGCTGCTGCTGGTGCTGCTGCTGCTGGTGCTGCTGCTGCTGGTGCTGCTGCTGGTGGTGCTGCTGCTGCTGCTCCTCCTGCTGCTGCTGGTGCAGTTGAAGCTGGTTGTGCTGCAGCAACTGGGGCTTTTAGTGCTTGTCTGATGGCTGCTTCAGCTGCTGCTATAAGCGGCTCATCCTCTGAGACTCTAAGAAGACGAAAAGGGAGATAAAGGCAAGAAAGAAGGAGACGAACAAGAGGATAAAGTCTTTATGTGCTACTGCAATTGGGGCTTTTAGTGCTTGTCTGATGGCTGCTTCAGCTGCTGCAATAAGCGGCTGATCGTCTGAGACTCAAAGAACAGGGCAAGGGAGAGAAGCAAGAGGATAAAGTCTAAATGTGCTGATGCGATAGGGGTTTCAGTGCTTGCTTGATGGCTGCTTCAGCTGCTGCAATAAGTGGCTCATCCTCTGAGACTCTAAGAACAGGGGCATGGAGATATCAAGGCAAGAAAGTGAAAGACGAACAAGAGGATAGAGTATTGATGTGCTGCTGCAATCGGGGCTTTCAGCGCTTGTCTCATGGCTTATTCAGCTGCTGCAATAAGCGGCTCATTTTCTGAGTATGGAGATATTGAGGACAAGGAGGCAAACAAGAGGTAAAGTCCTCATGTGTTTGGGGCTTTCCTAGAGGAATGTGATTGAGGCTTTCAGTGCTGATGTGATGGCTGCTTAAGCTGCTGCAATAAGCGGCTAATTCTCTGAGACTCTACGAACAGGGGCATGGAGTTTTTAAGGGAGAGGGCGAAAAGCTTTCAGGGCTTATCGTATGGCTGCTTCGAATGCTGCGGCTCACTCTCTGAAACTCTAAGAACAGTAGAACGGAGATGTTACGCTGAATCTGCTTCTTGAGAATTAACCCAAAAAAAAAAAAAAACAAAAAAAAAAAAAAACAAGAGG